TCACGTTATTACTTAACGATAAATTTGATGGATTGATTAGCAGAGGTCTTTGTCATTGCAACTCGTAAGTTGATGTATGTCATTGTTATGTGACTTAAAGTTGAGGTTACAAAATGCAATTTTCCTATTATTTAATAAGATAGTATTATTCACACATTTCTTTTTACCTTCACAAATCCCTGTTAATTTTTATCTTTTAATCGTCTTTAATTTATTCGATCAGACAGTAATAAATTAAAAACTATCTGTATAAGATAAACAAGTCCTATTCAATATACATCCAAGCAATAATGCATGTTTGACCATTGGACCATTGTTACAAGTTAGACTGATTGATTGATTATGATGATAATGCATACATATGTAACATGTTGCCTAGTGGTTAGAGAAAAATGGTTAATGGCACATGCAAAAGGAAAAGTAAGAAGAATACAACAGAAATATACAAAATGGTTAAGACAAAAACACAAGGTAACACCCTCGAAAGCTCATGACTCATACGAGCCATTGGCACTTTGTTGTGGCTTTGTTTGTTGTCACCTCCTCCTCTCATTTCATTTGTCCATCTCTTTCTCTCTTGTCTGGTTCTTTGCTTTGGCCCCTTTTAGCACGTCTTGTTCTTTTAATAAATTGACTAATGTTACCTTCCAAATTTTTACTTTTCATGAACCGGTTCAGCCCGACGTTTTCGTGTTCAGACCGTTTAAGTTTTCGGTTTGGGCTGAGGGAAGAGTCGGTGTTCGGCCGGGCTTTTTGAAGAGAAGTTATGACATCAGCAGAATAAAGAATTTGCTGAACATCGTTCATTAATTTGTTAAATAAAGATATGCCAGCAAAGTTGGGAAAAAAAAATATTCATCAATGTCTTTCTATTTAGTCCAATATGGAGTTCTAATTTAGTCTTGGCAAAGGGTTTGAACATCATATAAAAGATGTTGTATTAAGATTTTTTTATTACAAATAATATTATGAATACTAAAGAGATCATATTTTTGTACTATATTTGTGTATTATCTGATGTGGCAAGTTATGTGTTACAAAAACATTATTAATGTCACGTCAATTAATGAATTTATCTCATTTTTTGTATATCATGTGTAATGCCACATCATTTAATAAAGTTATCTCATTTTTTCTTCTTTCAAATAATGAATTTATCACATTAAGTTTGGTATTGTTGTACTTTGAAAAAAACTACTTCTGTTGTACTGTGAGAATAAGCTCATTTTAGCTGCTTCTCGTTTTCAACTTTTTTTTTCATCCAAAACCGTGAAAATAAGTTGTTTTTAAATGTTTACCAAATACCTTTTTGAGCTCAACTTTTTTTTATACTCACTTTTTATAAAAGTATCTCAGTACCAAACCAGTACTAAATGACCTAATTATCATTCGCCTATATTATTTGATAGATTGAACGCAGTCTTACGACATGATCACTGTATCTTTTTCTTCGCACTCCTATATAGAAAGAAAAAAAAATGATGTGATCATTTGGTCAACAAGATGTATGCAAGTCCACATTCGCTATATACACGTTCTCCATAATTGATTGGTACTCCATGAACTACTTTACGTAACATAATGTACATGTTTTATTGTCGCATATTTATATAGGAAATGTTCTTTTACCATACAAACAATGAATTTGAAAAGAAAAATATTACCTACTACCAAGAAGGAACAAGAGAACCCATCCCATATTATGTTATATTTGATTGTGACTTGTGAGCACAGGACAGATATTTGCATACTCGATCACTAGGAAATTGCTAAATGTCATATATAAGGTTTTCTAGTAAAATAGTTTCGAAATTGACATAACTTCTTATTGGCATCAACGATGAAAATCAATAGAATTGGTTCTTGAATTTGTCCACTATAAGTCATTTTGATTATTCTATGAAAAATATGTCGTTAAGTTAAGGGGTTGGTTTGACAAAAATACTCTAAAAAAAATTAGTTGGAAGACTACATATTTACACCAGATTTGTGTACAATCGCATGTGTCACTTAATAAAGTTATCTCAATTTTTTTCTTTCAAATAATGAATTTATCACATTAGTTTGGTGTTGCTGTGCTTTGAAAAAAAAAAAACTGCTTCTGATGTGCTGTGTGAGAATAAACTCATTTTTGCTACTTCACGTTTTCAGCTTTTTTTTATACCCACTTTTTATAAAAACACCTCAATACCAAACCAATACTAAATATTGATTATATGCATCACTTGACACATGCGATTGTACACAAATCTAGTGTAAATATGTAGTCTCCCGACTATTTTTGTTAAGAGTATTTTTGTTAAACCAACCCCTCAACTTAACGACAAATTTTTCATAGAATAACCAAAATGACTTATAATGGACAAATTCAAGAACTATTTCTATTGATTTTAATTGTCGAGTGCCAATAAGAAGTTATGCCAATTTCGAAACTATTTGACTAGAAAACCTTATATATGACATTTAGCAATTTCCTAGCGAGTATGCAAATATCTGTCATGTGCTCACTAGTCACAATCAAATATAACATAATATGGGATGGGTTCTCTTGTTCCTTCTTGGTAGTAGGTAATACTTTTCTTTTCAAATTCATTGTTTGCATGGGAAAATAACATTTCCTATATAATATGCGACAATAAAACATGTACATTAAGTTACATAATGTAGTTCATGGAGTACCAATCAATTATAGAGAACATGTATATAGCGAATGTCGACTTACATACATCTTGTTGACCAAATGATCACATCATTTTTTTTTCCTTCTATATAGGAGAGGTATGAAGAAAAAGATACAGTGATAATGTCGTAAGACTGCGTTCATTCTATCAAATAATATAGGTGAATGATAATCAGGTCACATATACTAGTATCTACTTGATTACGAAAGATTTAAAAGTTCATTTAAATCTTGGAAAAAAATTGTAAGGTTTTAGTTTTAGAGTAGATTAGGAATATGTAAAGTGTATTTTTTTTTCTTCTAAATTTTTGTGAGAGGGAAGGAATTTATGGAAGTGAAATAAGTAACGAGAGTGAAAGTAGCATTATGACTAACCACTACAAGGTGGCTCAATGGTTATGAACAAATTTCAGACTCGTATTTCACACGGCAAGTTCTGAATTCGATTATTGGCGTTGATGAATCACACAATGGTGGTCAGAAGAGGCTAAAATGACCACGTAAGATTCCTAAAAAAGAAATTGACATAGTGAAACTATCAACTGGTCTTTTTTTTTAGGAAAAAAAAGTAGCATTATGACTAGTTTTTTTTAACAATTTCCTTGACCCAATTGTTTGCCTATCACATTCAAAAGATTTCACACAAATATAGCATATAGGGCTATGTGCAAATATTAACAACTTTTTCTCTACTTAAAGCGTGGGTATCATCGCTTTATGTCAATTTTTATCAGAAATTTTATGAAGAAAAGCATCACATGTTAAACACGTGGGTCATATTTAGAGACAAATTTTGGTCGTTCTTAAGGCCTATGTGACTTGGAGTAAGAAATACACTGACTAATCTCTTCGGCTCGACATAATTTTGTTGACTTTATTTGGTTTACTTAACTCACGATCTTTTTAATTTTTTGTAAACGTAATTTTTAACTCCACTTGGGAGCAGATTCTCCATAAATAGGGGTAAGGCTAGCCGACATCCACCTATCCCAGACCATGCGTAAAGCGGAAACCATGTGCACTGGGTACGACATTTTTGTAATTTTTAACTCCAAATCATCTAAAATCTCAAAGTAACGAAAAGCTTTTAAAAACGGCTGCGTTTGTAACACGTGATTCGTTTTGAAGGAATTTTAGACAGTAATTGACACGTAGTCCATTCCCACTGCAAGTAACTTTTGTTTGGTAAATTGTCAAAAGAACAAATGGTACATCAGCATATGTTCTCATGGAACCAGTAAAAAAAATGCCATATGCTTATCATCCTAGCCCTTAAAATAAAGGAAAAGATGACATCTTTGCCTTTGAATCACAAGGTATTGCAACTATGGCCGACACCAAACCTCTCTCTCTCTCTCTTTCCCAATTCACAAACGAAAGCGAAAGATAAACCAAAATAGTAGACCACTGTGCCGACGATGGCTTTCCGTTTTTCCACACTGCAGTTTTGCAAACAAAAACAAAAAGCTCCCATTAGTTTACACCGAATGGATGACGACACTGTGTGCGTCACCTCACCCCAGCTGGGATGGCTGATGCCATCTCAATCGTCACCAAAGCGACTTCATCTCCCCCTAACGAAATTTCTCACCTCTTTCTCACCCCTCTCTCTCTCTCTCTCCTCTTTCTCTCTCTACTTTCTGACTCTGTTTCTCTGAATTGATTCCTACCCTTTTGGCTCCCCCCCCTCTGTCCTCTCTGCCAATCTTGGGATTTGATATCTGTGAGTGTTCTTCTGGTTGAGATGGTCGAAGGTTTGATTCTTCTTGTTTTCGGGCTTTGTGTTTGCTGCAATTTTTCTAAGATTGATCCTGCTGTTTTCCTTTGTTTATGTTGTTCTGGGTTTTGAAATTCAGGGGGATTTGATAGAAAAAATACAAAAGTTTCTGTTTTGTGCAGTATAAAAAATTCCAGCATAGAATATAGTTGATGCAAAAACTGGTTTGTATTGTTCTAATTAGATCTTGAGCATCAAGATTCTAGTTTTGTGTTTTTGATTTTACCTTTCAAAATTGAAGAGCAAAATCACAGATTATGACAGGTTTGGATTTTGTGTTAAAGTTGTAAACTTTAATTCTGTGATCGTATTGGATCATCCCCTTCTGTTCGGTAATCTGCTTTTCTCGCTTTTCGTTTCTGGAAAGCACTTTTGCTTGGAGGTTTTCTTGACCATATCAGTCAGAAGAATCGTAATATTTTGAGAGCCGTAGCTTGTGATCGAAGAATTAGACAGCTTTGGGGCTCTTATTCTTCAAGCAATATGTGATTCCGCTTGACGTCGATACGTCCTTAGGCTATACTTTTGGTCCGAAGTCGATCAATGGCTTATTCAGCTGAACCATCATCCTCTTTGAGCTTTACTTCCTCATCCCCTTTGTCAAATGGTTCGATATGCCACAACGTATCGTGCTCGGGCTCCGAATCGGTGCCAAATCTTGAAGTAATCAGTTTGTCCAAGCTTAGTTCCAGTTTGGAGCAGCTGTTGGTTGATCCTGGATGCGATTTTAGTGATGCTGATATCATCGTTGAGGGGATTCCTGTTGGTGTTCACCGATGTATATTGGCTTCGAGGAGTAGGTTTTTTCGCGAGCTATTCAAGCGAGAAAAGGGGTCTTCTGGGAAGGGAGGCAGGCCAAAGTACTCTATGAGCGATTTGCTGCCTTACGGGGATGTTGGATACGAAGCCTTCTTGGTTTTCTTAAGCTATGTGTATACCGGAAAGCTTAAGCCTTCTCCAATGGAGGTGTCAACGTGCGTTCACAATGTATGTGCCCATGACGCTTGTAGACCTGCTATTAATTTCGTTGTGGAATTGATGTACGCCGCTTCCGTTTTCCAAATGCCCGATCTGGTTTCGATATTCGAGGTTGGTCTTCTGTTGTTTTGAATTTGTGAGCAGATTTTTGTTAGTCAAGTCTATGAGTTCATGAATTCGTAAATCAATATATTTTTTGGGGGGCATTTTCTATCCAACTTAGTTATGAATGTTATGATAGACTGCTCATTCTTTTGGTAACATAAATGGAAAATAGTTCTGATTTGATTGTCTGTGCACTGGCAGCGGCGCCTTCTTAATTTTGTTGGGAAAGCTCTGCCGGACAATGTTATCCCGATTCTCGTGGTTGCTTTCCATTGCCAGTTGAATCAGCTCATCGCTCAGTGTATAGAGAGAGTGGCTCGATCGGATATTGATGATATCTCGATTGAGAAGGGACTTCCTGATGAGGTTGTGAAGAAAATCAAAGTTCTTCGCCGCAAACCTCAGGAGGACTGTGTCTCAAACTTGCCGCCTGTGGATCCCTTGCATGAAAAGAGAATCCGGAGAATACATAAGGCTTTGGACTCGGATGATGTTGAACTTGTGAAACTTCTTTTGACGGAGTCTAATATAACCCTAGACGAAGCAAATGCTCTTCATTATGCTGCAGCTTACTGCGATCCTAAGGTTGTGACTGAAGTGCTTGATCTGGGTCTCGCTGATGTTAACCTCCGGAATTCTCGTGGTTATACAGTGCTTCACATTGCTGTCATGCGCAAAGAGCCATCAATTATCGTATTGCTTCTCACTAAAGGAGCTCGTGCGTCGGAGCTAACATCAGATGGTCAGAGTGCTGTTAGTATTTGCCGGAGGTTGACAAGACCAAAGGATTACCATTCAAAAACAGAGCAGGGGCAAGAAGCAAACAAAGACCGAATATGCATTGATGTTCTAGAGAGGGAAATGCGGCGGAATCCCATGGCTGGAGATACATCTATATCTTCCCAAATAATGCCTGATGATCTGCACATGGAGTTGCTGAACCTGGAGAACAGAGGTAAATGTTGCAAAACAAATGGCATTTTATCAACGATGGTCGACATATCTTGCAAAACAAAAGGCATTATCCAGTACTATATTCTTCCAATTTTATTTTGCGAAGTTCTCTTGGTAAAATGTTGGTTGTAGATATGTGTTCTTATTTTAACACCTGAATTTCAACCTTTTGCCTTCATATTTCTTCTTTCGATTGGTTTAGTGTGTCTCTGATTCTCTGGTGCGACATCTTGCACTTGTTATTGCAGTGGCAATTGCGCGATTGTTATTTCCTGCGGAGGCCAAGCTAGCCATGGTCGTTGCCCATACAGAGGCAACGCCCGAGTTTCCTAAGCCATCGTCATCGAAAGGCTCAAGTGGGAATCTGATGGAGGTTGATTTAAATGAGACCCCCACAATGCAGAACAAAAGACTCCACTCTAGGTTGGAAGCCCTTATGAAAACCGGTAAATCATAAGCGCATGCTTTTATCCGTTGCTGCGGTTTCAATTACATAATATTTAGTCATTTGTTCTAAGCTTTTTCGTATTGTGGCAGTCCGTTTGGGTAGATGCTATTTCCCTCACTGCTCGGAAGTCCTGGATAAGTTCATCGTCGACGACCTTCCTGAATTGTTTTTCCTCGAGTCCGGCTCCTCTGATGAGCAGAAGGTAAAGAGGAGGCGTTTCATGGAGCTGAAGGAGGAAGTACAAAAGGCATTTACCAAAGACAAGGCTGAGTTGAGCCTCTCCGGGTTGTCTTCATCATCCTCCTCGTCATCTCCCAGAAAATTTGGCACAAATCAGAAGGTTAGGAAATTGTGAAGGCGTGTAAATTTGTACCTAATAAGCCTTCGAAATACGAACAATTTTTTTCGACGTTACTGACGAGAGCGTAGGGAAGTGTTGGCCATCGGATCGGTAAAATCCGGGCAGCTGTGAATTGCTCTGTTAACTTCACAAACTAGCAAGTATACTAGTTTTGTACTTCTGTAGATGATGGTTTTGAATAGTAGCGATATTTTGATAAATGACATTTACTTTTCAAGCCATTTTCATTAGTTTTCCTTTCTTATAAAGCTCTCTTAGGAAGTTTTGGGACTCGAAACTTCGGGTTTAAGGACGAATGCTCTAGCGACTCCTATTTAAGAGAAACAAGATGACATTTTTACCAACAAAATAGTGAGCGTATAAAAGTTGGAAGGATTTAGGACTCGTTTGAAAATACTTATAAAATAGTTGAAAGAGTTGTCAGAATCAATCGTTAATAAAATGACAATTCATTACTAGAAAATCACTTTGTTGCTTTGTGTAAAAAACACATAGCCAATGCTTCTTGCAAGAAGCATTTTGAATATTTTGGAACTCAAAATAATTTTTTCTTTCTAAAAACGCTTTTAGTCATTATAATGCAGTTCCAAACAAGTGTCTAATTTTTTACTTTACAGACATAGATGACGTCATGTCTTTTGGCCATCTGCGTGTGTGCTCGAACATTTCTTTGAGTTAAACCATTTTTTCTCCTAATAGTACTATGGATTATCTTATTTATCTGGACTTTGACCGTTAAAATTTAATTAAAAATTTAATGGTCAAGATTTTACGCTAAAAAGTTTTAGTATCTTATTTTGTTTTCTCAGCGTACGTAATATTAAAAAATCCAAACTTTCATACTGCATCAGTCCTAATTAATAAACAATTATTTAATTATTTATCATTTTTCGTTTCTTCTTCAAAAAAGAAATTATTCATCATTTTTAAATCGCAAAAATGAGGCATATACTTCGCATGTGCTCTGCACATGGGTCCTCGGTCACATGCACTAACCTATTCTTATTGGAAATAGTGGATTATCTTGATGGATTATCGTTTTGGTTAAATTCTTGGGTCTAAATTTAATTTAAATCGTCAGTGAGTACTACGGTCTAGTAGTATTGTTCTTTATTTGAAAGTGAGAGATTTTAGGTTCGAATCTTGTAGATAGCGAATTCGATACCAAATTAGGCTGCCCATTGTGTGGTTTTGTCGAACTTCCCTCCCTTTAGTGTAAAAATATTGATGTACTTTGAAAAAATTAATTTAAATTATAAAGGAATAGATTCAGGAAAATACTTTTCTATATAATTTTCGGCACATGTTTTTATGAGAGCCTTTTTATAGTGTTTTTAATGATCTGAACCGTCTATCATTTAAGTCGTCTTTCAAGATCATGTCTACCAAATTTGAAACCATATAATTGTTGGATTAAAGTTTTAGAATTTTTGTTGTAGAACAATATTCATTAATTTCCTTCACTACAAATGAATGTCTTGATAATTTGAAATTTGTCTAACTTTTTGTAGGGATGATCTATAAATGCTATTGCAGAAAATAGATAGTTCGTTGAAACACATTACATAATGACCCCCACAAAAACGTGCCAAAAATTGTGAAAAAAAAATGGTGTCGCGAATACGCACTATGTATATGGAAAAAGATCCTCACCAGATCCTTTTCATGGGGATCCCGGGGATCGTGTAATCATGTCCGTTCATCGTACATCGTGCGATCAGAAATTATTTTAAATTTTAAATTAAATATAAATAATACTTAACAAAAACTGACTGCATGATGTACGATGAATGGATATGATTACACAATCCCCGAGATCCCAGAAGGATCTTTTTCCTATATATATCAGTTGTATTCAATAGACCTATTCTAATTCAAACATGTTTCCTCACTAATATGAGTTAAATTTAGAAATATCACTACTTAGGCTCAAACCCTGGAGCTAATAAACGTGGAAACCAACGTTCAAGCATCGTCACTCAAACGACGTTGACTATTTTCGCAGTAGCATCTTCAACCTCCTCCTGGATTATGTTATCCCATCAATCATCATGCTTTGTTCCATCTCCTTAATCTCCATGTTTGAATCTTAGCCCAGATTAACTAATGGCTAATTCATCCGACCCATCTTCCTGCTTGAGCTTCACCTCCTCTCCCCACATATCCAACGCCTCCATAACCCCCAACTCCTCCGCCTCCGACCCGCCGCCCACCCCCGACTTACTCACCAACCTCAGCTCCAATTTGGGCCGGCTACTGGCCGACTCCGGCGGCGACTACAGCGACGCCGAAATCACCGTCGAGGGCGTTCCGGTTGCTGTCCACCGATGTATTTTGGCTTCGAGGAGCGAGTTTTTCGCGGAGTTATTCAGGCGGGAAAATGGGGATTCCGAACAAGAAGGAAAGCCCAAGTATTGTATGAGTGATTTGCTGCCTTTTGGGCATGTGGGTTACGAAGCGTTTCTGGTTTTCTTGAGCTTTGTGTATACGGCAAAGGTGAGGGATTTTCCGGTCGAGGTTTCGAGCTGCGTTCACAATGTGTGCGGCCATGAAGCTTGTCGACCCGCCATTGAATTTTCTTTGGAGTTGATGTGTGCTTCTTCGGTTTTCGGAATGCCGGATCTGGTTTCCATATTGCAGGTTGGTTGGTGTTGTTTGCTTTCTGAATTTCTGATCAAACATTTTAATCACATCGATAAATTAGTCAACTTTAGCAATTAGTGTTCTTTTTGACCTTAGAAACCATGAGCATGCAATGCACAAACAGTACAGGAACACCCTATGAGTCATCAACGACATTGAAATTGTCTACTATGTAAAAAGACTTGGTTGTCTGCATTTTTTGGAACCTTTTACTCTTTTAAATTTCGCCCCTCCCCGACAATTCCTGGGTTCGCAACCACTGGTTTCGGCCATCTTAGTTGTGTATCTGTATTATGTTTTTCGTTTTTAGTCAACTTCTATCCAACTTGTTTTATAGAATGCAAAGATAGATTACTAATTCATTTGGAAAGAAAAATGGAAGGTTGTTCTGATTTGGTTCTGTGTATTTGACAGCGACAGCTTATCGATTTTGTACTGAAAGCTCTGGCGGATGATGTTATCCCAATCCTCGTGGTTGCGTTTCATTGTCAGTTAAGTCAGCTCATTGATCAGTGTATAGAGAGAGTGGCACACTCAGATCTTGATAGTATATCTCTAGAGAAAGCACTTCCTGATGAGGTTGTGGAGAAGATTAAAATTCTTCGCCGCAATTCTCAGCACTGCTGCGACCCAAACATGCCAGCCGTGGACCCCTTGCGTGAGAAGAGAATCAGGAGAATACATAAGGCACTGGACTCAGATGATGTTGAACTTATGAAACTTCTTTTAACCGAGTCTGATGTAACCTTAGACGAAGCCAATGCGCTTCATTATGCTGCTGCTTACTGCGATCCTAAGGTTGTGGCTGAAGTGCTTGGCCTGGGTCTGGCTGATGTTAACCTCCGGGATTCCCGGGGTTATACAGTGCTTCACATTGCTGTGAAGCGGAAAGAGCCATCAATTATAATATTGCTTTTGTCTAATGGTGCTCGTGCATCAGAGCCGACTTTAGAAGGTGAGAGTGCTGTTAGTATTTGCCGGAGGTTGACAAGGCAAAAGGATTATCATACAAAAACTGAGCGGGGGCAAGAAGCAAACAAAGACCGGATTTGCATTGATGTTCTAGAGAGAGAGATGCAGAGGAATCCAATGGCTGGAGAGGCATCTATATCTTCCCAAATAACGCCCAATGATCTGCACATGAGACTGCTGAAACTGGAGAATCGAGGTAACATTTCTACACTCTCAATTTAATTTGTAAAGGCATTGTGGTAGCAGATCATAGTCAGTATCCTTTTTCTTCTTGAATCTCAACCTTTCGCGTTTCATGTTTCATCTTTTGACTGGTTTAATATGCGTTGAGTCTCTGCTTTGGTCTCCTTCACTTGTTAGATAAGGCCTGAATCTGAAGTCCATTGTTTATTCCAGTGGCATTTGCCAGATTGTTATTCCCTGCTGAAGCCAAGCTAGCCATGGCCATTTCACAGGCAGACACAACGCCTGAGTTTGCCGGGATCTCTTCCTTGAAAGGATCTAGTGGGAATTTGATGGAGGTTGATTTGAACGAGACTCCCACTGTGCAGAACAAAAGACTCCTTTCTAGGTTGGAATCCCTTGTGAAAACAGGTAACATGCTATTATTGTGGTTGCATTGCAGAGTTTTGGTTGATCCTTTTTTTCGGCTTATTTGTTTGTACACTTTGACGAAAATCTGTGTGACTTTGCTCCCTATGCTTCAGTTGTATTCTGTTACCCCATTCCGTCACGGTGGTTAGAAAACCAAAAAACCAATGATCTTATGCCACATCAACCAAGTTAAGCAATTTTCCTAACCTACCGGACTGAATGGGGTAACATGAGCCACTGAATGAAAGTACTTGTATGTAGAATCTGCTGGATAAAAGTACTTGTATCGTCGTTTTTATTCTGTATTTGAAGCCTTCGTGTTCTATTGTGGCAGTCAGTATGGGTAGACACTATTTTCCGCATTGCTCGGAAGTCCTCGATAAGTTCCTTCAGGTCGACCTTCCTGATTTGTGTGTCCTCGAGACGGGCACCACTGACGAGCAGAAAATAAAGAGGCAGCGTTTCTTGGAGCTCAAGGAAGAAGTACAAAAGGCATTTGACAAGGACAAAGCTGATAAGAACCTCTCCGGGCTGTCTTCGTCATCCTCCTCACTTCCTCCGAAAAAAGTTGGGCGCAAGTCCAAAGGTTAGGAAATTGTGAAGGCATGTAAATTGTATCTAACTATAGGCCTCCCAGTTACTTGTAAAATGGATTCTGTTATTTCCAGTACTTCAATCAACAGATGAATTCTCTGATCAACGAAACAGTGTAATTCTTTACATTTCTCTCGGGCGCGAAACCAAAGTTACACTGCAAGATAAACAGCATATTGAGCACCGTACGAACCAAAAGATTATAACCAAATAAAGCAGAAGTTGAACTGAAAATCAAATGAATGAATGTATATAGAACTGTTTGATACACTTGAGCATGAATGGATTAGCCAGGCGTTCGGGCCGAAAAGAAAAACTGGAATCAGCAACGCCTATTTAGCATACAAGACGGGGATTTGTTGCGAAAATGCTAAACGAACAAGAACAGATGGATAAAATTCTTAGATTTTTTTGCGATTTTAAACTTGAATAGATTTTGCGGGTGAATCACATTTTTGCAAAAACAGTTGAAAACTGGAAGTTGCAGAGTGTGAAGATTGAAAAAAAAATGCAGACAAGTGAGAGGAGAGGTTACAGTGGATGAAATCTTATCGGGGTTTAAGTCCCCATTGCCCCTTTCGTTGTATCCTCTCTGGGTTTTCCAGAGAAGCGAAGATGGGAGTGTGCCTCTGTTTCTGCCATTAGCCACTTCTTCTTTCTTTTCCTCTCTTTTTTCTTTTTCAAATATTTCTACTTATTTGTCTGTTACCATTTCTTTCCTGTCTTTTTCTCTCTACTCTCTGCAAACTACAAAAGGGAAGAAACAAATACTCCTAAGTCCTAATCTACTAGCATACAAAAAAATTCTTACAATTTTCATATGTCAAAACTAAATTAGAGTTTTTTAAACTTCTTAATCGTCATTTTGTAATAACAAGGAAAGTGATTTTCATATACTTTTTTCTCCTTGAATTGAATAAACCAAAAGAAGATCAAAAGACAAACATATACATAATTTGTGCGAGAAAGAAAAAAAGGTATATGCGAAAATCATTTCCAATGTGCTCAAAACCTTGAAATATTATAATCTTCATTTCACACTTGTTCATCTTGTTTTAAAAAAAGATAAAAAAAAAGGAAATTGAAGAAAAGGATAGACCCCGAGCTTTAGCCTAGATTGAAACTAAACAATATGGGCATCGTCTCATATGTTGAGAATGAATTTCATATTAAATTTCATATTGATGAGAGGAGGGGCTTTATATAAGCTTATAAGTGAGTTAGGTTACTCTTCAAAAGTTGGTTCCGTGACTCTAAATAACTACCATATTCACTACGTCTAGGCATCTAGAGTTCGAAACACTTTGATGTAACCCGAAAAAAGGAATGAAGAAAAAAGTCATGAGTACTCAAATACTTGCAGCAACAACCCTCATGAGTCATAACCACCATATTTGCTCTCTCTTACACGCCAAAAACACCAAACCCTAATCCCACCACGCAACTCCTTGTCCTCTTTCTTTCAGTTATGAATCCAAATTTAAGAGGAAAGAAGTTCGCAGGGCAACTAAGTTGTTGAAAAAGTATCAACTTGAACAAGAAGCCAAGTTTTACTCGAAACTGCTATCTGCTGCTGCCCCATGCATGCATGATGCACCAACATGGCCTCAACGGCCAAGTTTCCAACCATGCATGGATGATCTCCTTTCTAACTTTTTTTTTTTTTATTAACTACCGTCCACTCCCAGTAATGATTACCATGCGATTTGGTCCCATCTATGATATTGATGAAGTATTCACCCTTGCAAACTTGGCGTAGTGAGTTTGCTATATGCTTTTCCGACTTTATAACTAATTTCGAATCTCTCTTTTTATCACTCTAAAATATCGCTCGACTAAAATATGAAACACTTACTGCTATTTTGTCTAAATTTGCACGTGAGACACGTATAATGAATTGCCTAATTTAATTATTGTACGTTGAAAATAACGTAAGTGTTTTGACACGGTAAAATACTATGAGAAAATTGTAGTAATGGTACAATTGAGTTAAAGTTAAGAGATTTTGCTCCAAAATGAGTCAAAGTTGATAGATCATTTCTCCAATTGAGTTAAAGTTGAGAGACCATTAATACAATTTGACTTCCATATTTGCTCCTTTATTCAGCTTCACGTGCATGGTACATGACTGATTTTGACGAAAGTTCTAACGGAGTCGACGAAAATGACATAACTGCACGTTTTAATGAGTTAAGAAAACAATAATCACAATTTTTAGTTCAAAGATCATTACTTCAATTGAATTAAAGTTGAGTGACAATTATTATAATTTCCTCATATACTATGGCAGGAAGTAGTCATGATACAAAATATAGCTAGGAAATGGTAAATGATGCAAACAACCATAATCATTGGGGTATGATGGGGTTGGTGATGGAATATTAGGAACCGTAGCAGCAGCAACATGTTAGTATATAAGATTACGTTTGGTACGCGGACGGGACGGAACGGAACGGGACGGGACGGGACGGGACGGAACGAAGGTGTAATTTTTGAAAAAGACATGGGGTATATTTGTCTTAAAATGGTAAAACATTGTGTTCCACAGACGTGGAACAAACCCGTTCCAGGGGGGAGAGGTGGAACGCAAAAACACCCAAAATCTGTCCCGTGGAACAACCCGTTCCACCCATTTTTAGCGCACCAAACGCGGGACGGAACGCCTCGTTCCGTTCCGTCCCGTCCCGTCCCACGTACCAAACGCACCCAATGGAACCGGATCCCCTCCAGAGCCAAAGGAACTGAGTTCAAGGATCAAATGATCTAAGTATTGAAATTTGATTCAATTGCTACAATTATTATAACTTTTAGAGACCCCTTATTTGTAGTCGTTGGATCAAATTTTAATAGCTCGGATCATTTGATGAGTAGGCTCAGTTCCTTTGGATCCAGATGGGATCCGGTTTCGTATACAATGACATACCTCAGATTAAAATAAACTAAAATAGTACAACATAACTTAGAAAAAAAATCAAGAAAAATATACATTATAAAACGAAAATAAATTTAAATATTAAGATATGGCATCCGAATTGTATCATCATCAACCAATCATTTTAACTATAAGTGGGAATTGGATCCTCTCCTGAGCTTGGGCTCAGGAGCCTCCTGCCCAACACACAAGGACCGTTGGATTTTGATCCAATGGCTACAAACAGAGAAATCTTCTAAAAATTATAATAATTGTAGTCGTTAGATCAAAATCCAACAGCCCTTGTGTGTTAGTAAAGAGACTCTAATAGCAGCAATAGTCAAAAGTCCACTACACACAAAGTGAAATACTTATTTTGTCCTTTGTATATATCTTGCATTTCTCCAAACAAACACAAAAGTTTAAAATATACTATTAATTTATTGATATTTCTCTTTATAATTTTGAAATTAGATTCGCATCGGCCTTATCATTAATAAAAAAATTAAAATATTAGCAAAAATAATTATAACAAAAGGAGTGGTACTATTCACATATATATTTACTTCTCATACACTCTTCTCAAATTTTGATCGTCAAATCAAATGAATTGAATATCAATAAATAAAAATTAACAAAAATGTATATGATGTAATAAAGAATGTGTGAATGGTACTATCCTAAAAAAACCCTAGAATCCAAATAGCTCATGAGCCAACCACATTATTTTTCATTTCTCACTTCCCAATCCCATTTGGATAACAAGAAAAATGCGATCCACACTACACTAGATCATGGAATCCAAGCACAAACTCGCACGTATCCACCCAAAAATTCACTTGTCATTTTTCTAGTTCCTTCCATTTTTTTTGTTGTGAGAAATGTTAAGGACGTTATCTCAAAAGTAAAACTCTTTATAAATTCTTTACAATTTCATGTATTTAGCATAATATTTTATAATATTACTATGAAAATTAACGTTAAATTGCCATCTAATGTGACATAGAATTTATTGTCTTCTCAGCATTTTTTTTAACTAATAACCACTCCTCTTCTTACTTTATTATATGTTCGGTTGGACATTCCAAGCACTCACATTTTTCATTGATTTCTCACCCCCTCCCTCTGCTTCCTTTTCCCTCCTTCACGGGTTCTTGCCTTCCCATTTCTCCATTGCTGGTCACAGATCAAACCCATTTGTTTTCTCGATTACCCATCTGCAATCTGCGCCTCAAGTTTTCATCTTTCCTTCTGATTTCTGGATTTTGGCATTGATTAGCTTCTGGGTTCCTGTGTTTTCCCAAATGCCCATCTGATTTGGAGGGGTTTTTGGTTGTTAACTTTTATGACTTCATGCTCATGGTAAGGTCTCCTCCTTCTGATTTCTGAGTTTCTCAGCTTGCATCCTCTGTTTTTGCTTTATGGGTTTTGTTTGAAACTTCATCTGCTTTTGGTTATATTATGATTTCTGATCTCAGGATGGAGGTGGTTTTTGATTTTGAATACCACATTTGATTTCTCATGTGTTTGTGGTTACCTTTGGATCCGAGTTTGTTTTTCCCTTTTGATTGCATTTCTTGTTTCTTCTGGGTACTGCTTTATTTTGTTAATTTTTTCTAACGGTGTTTTTAAATCTCCTGCTTAGAGCTTGTATTGGTATTGTTCTGCAACCATATGGAAGTGTTGATGGAGTACCTTCATTTTACACTGACTTCTTTTCAAATGGCCACTTGGTTTTTGTGGTTGAGTCATTTGGCTTTCTTTTCAATGAAGAAACTGTTTGTGGGCAGTCATGAGATCAAATTTAGGGTCTTGGTGCTTGACCAATGTATGACCACACTATCTAATCCGGTCGGCAAGTTTTGCTTAATGTACATTCATACATTTGTATTTGGAAAGTACTAAATTGGAGTTTGAGAGCTGCTCAGTTTCTCTCTTCTGTCTTCTGGGTGTTACTTGGATCTCATCTGTTTCTAATTCTGGTTTTAGCCTTTTCGTTTCCGTATGTTGTTTTTATACAAAGGTTTTTGTTGCCCAAATCTATTTAAGTTAGTTTTAAACTTTAACAAATTTAAATGCATTTGTGCCGGTGTTTCTTGTCGTTGGGCTGTGTAGCTTGTTTGTGGATTATGTTTGTAAGTATAAGCACATAAGCTATCACATTGCTTCCAGTTTACCCATCTGCTAATATAAGCTACTCTGGTTAAATGTCATCCTCAGATGCTCACAGCAGTAACCAAAGAAAAATGATACTGATAAAGACATGCATGTTTTGTGATTATAAATTACTATTCTGGTAGCTTCCTTGCTCTTTGAGTGTGCTAATGGAAAGATGAAACAGGAAAATGAAGTGGGAAAGCTAGTACGAAAAAGTAAAGAAGGGAAATAAGAATTACCAATCTACCATATTGCAATGGAAATGTCTACAAAGACAGTTATGACGATCAAATCTTACCAAAATCAGGCCGGAGTTCTTGTTAAAAATTACTTACTAGCGGATCCCTTCATACCATATACTTCTGTTATTGGAGGCATAATTTTGTGCAAAATGGTATACTCTTAATAAAGATGTGCTGTAGGGTGCCTCATTCAAGTTGTAGATTTGGTTTTCTGTTTTGTTATTAACTCATTATTTTCTGCAGGTATATGATCTTACCCATTTAATTAGTACCTTTTACATTAAGGCTTATGGCAGTCTTACAAAAATCCAACGAATTGAGTGGAACAGTCGGTAAGGATACCCACTTTCCTTCTGCGTAATATACTTCCCATCTGGAACGCTACTTGTAAATTTATTAATTTGAAAGTTAACTTTTGCAGTGGTATCTCCAGTATTCATGCCATTTTTATAACGGCTCTGTCCTTGTACTTTGTGTTCTGGTCCGATCTCTTTTCTGATCAACAGCACCTTGGCCTTATTACATTTCGAAGCTCACCGTTGTCTGTTTTTGGATTAGGGGTATGTGCTTCCTATTATTATTTTTATATGAATTGTTAGCCACTCAATTATTTTGTAAGTATTTACAAGCATAATATTCAAGTGTAAATATCATGTTGGTTTCAATTTGACCTTAAGCTGTAAGGAAGTGATGAACAGATCCCAACATTATCTTATTTGCTTCATTATCATCCAACCATGCCTAGACTAGCAGATAGAAATTAATATCACGGATTGATGAGTGATCTGGACTTTTTGTTTTGTTGGGTTTTTTCATCTATATGCACTTTCTTTTGTTTGGTTATCTCCTGACATTTTTTTGTGGGACATAATTAAGATCATTTGTGACAGGTCTCTGTTGGGTACTTCTGTTCGGATCTGGGAATGCTATTATGGCTATATCCCTGTTTAGGGGGAATGGAGTATGTAAGTAAATTCTTCTTGGAAGACAATTTGTATATTAGTCTGGAAGCACAGCATATGCGTTTCTGTTTATAATTTATTGGTGTCTGCTTTAACGGTCTTGACATTTCGGTCAGAAGCATCATTTACCTAGGTTCTAATAAGTCCATTAAGGTGATTGCTTAATTGCACAAACAGGTAACTAGAAAGTAGAGAAGAAGAGGTTAAGTGGACGGAAAAAGAAATCACATTTGCATATAAACTAAGTCACTTTTGATTAGACTGGCGTTTTCTATGGGATCGGTTTAATTGAAATTTTAGGGCTTTTTATTTTCGTTATTCTTTATGATTGCAGAGGTGGCTGTAGTTAAAATTTGATATACGTTCGGCTTATCTTTGTAGTGGTTGGCACTTGGCAGACATGTTGTTAGAGTTTAATGGTTCTACTTTATTGGTGGACTTTTTGGTAGTAAAATAAATTTTGTTTCTTTCCAAAAGAATATACAATAATAAATAAACACTACTCAACTTGTACACAAATCTATTATTAGAAATGAGTAACGTTCACCACATGTTTACAGCTGTATAACTCTTGATATGGTGGCATTCAATTACAGGTTTTCCATCACTCACTTGCTGGAATTGCAGTAGCATACTCCATGTTTTCTGGGGAAGGGCAACTTTATACATACATGATCCTCATCTCTGAGATCACTACTCCAGAGATCAATATGAGATGGTGAGCTTTACACATAAGAATGTGTTTAGTTTATAGTCTTTCATCTTTAATATAAGCTTTCGTTTTCATGAAGGTATCTTGATACAGCTGGTCTTAAGAGGTCCAGCGCATATCTCCTAAACGGCATTGTGATATTTTTATCATGGCTGGTCAGTTGAATTCCTTTTGTATTATTATCTTTTGATCATTGAACGTGGTGGCTTGAGGCCCAACATGTACTCATTTCATATAATAGATCGAGTGTTGCAACAATACTGCCCTGATACTTTCATAAACTGACTCATTTCTTAGCCATCTGGCTTGATGTAAGCAGCATCGTGAGCATACATCGTTGTTTTCAAAGATGCTGGATTTTCCTTTTGGTCACATAACTTCCATCATTGTTAGTCATGCTTTCTAAAGGAATTTATGGAATGCAGGCGGCAAGAATTCTGCTGTTTGGCTACATGTTTTACCATGTTTACTTGCACTATGATATGGTAAGTTGCCATTCCCTTGGGATATGTACCGCTTACACTTTGGATTTTTCTTGCTGTATACTTTCACTTTCTTCAAAAGTTGAGTTATACCTATACATGGTTTGGATAGTTCTCTGAGAAGGGGTAAAAAGTTTGGATCTTTATATTTTCATCACCCTCCTCTTTTGGTGTGATTTTCTTTGGGAACAGGATGAAATCTTGAATGTTGCGTATGTAGTGCAATATTCTACATTTTTGAACCATTCCTGAAGATTATACATTTCGCTCGTTCTACTTTAAACGGAAAAAAAGAACAAACTAATGCAAGCCAAAACATCTCTCCTTTACCAGTTCCCTTATCTTTATGAATTTTTTATGAATCCATCTTTTCATTTTTTTTTTATGAATTATCAAGGACTCTAGAACTGTAAAGTTACTAAAGATTTTGGAGTGTCATTTGTTTCATGTAGTAAATTATTTAATTGGATTGCAGATCATCCAGATGCACACCTACGGATATCTGTTGGTGTTTGTTGTGCCATCCGTTCTAGCTGTTATGAACTTGATGTGGTTTGGAAAGATTATCAAGGGATTGATGAAGCAATTGGCCAAGATGCAATGATGGATATACATTGTGTGTGGAAATGAGTCGAAAGGCTTCCGCTTTAAGATGGATCTGATCTTGTGCATTCGTCTATTTTGTTCACTGTATAAATGATAGAGGCCCAGATGAGGGTTACAAGGCAGTCAAAACTGGAGGCATTTTGGTGGCCAAAATTGTTGTAAATGATTCCAAGTTTATTGTTAAATTACGAGGGGAGTTGAATCTAAGATCTCTACATTTTCTTGACTCAAGTCTCCACTGTATGTCACTAGAGTTAAATGATTCAAAGTTGCATGCGTTGTTTCAGCAACCTCTTTAATGTTGTTAACTAGTTTTGCAACAATGATTAGCTTCTTTGGATGTGCACCGATTTCTATTAACACAAAGGAGGAGGGGATGGGAGGAGAGAGAATCTGCCTCCCTTATAAAGTAATGGAAAGAGGGAAAGTTAGTGGGTACAAGGACCCGAAGCATTTTTCTTATGGGAAAGTAAATCAAATGAGAATTAAGGGACAAACAAATGGAAAGTACGAAAAGAGAAAATGGAAGTGTGTTCTTTATTTTTGATTTGGCTATCATTTGGTGATTTACTATGAATTGAAGACAAAAGTCGGAAAAATATTGAGATCATCCTAGTCTGCGCCTGCGATGCATTGGAAAAGCATACAACAACAAAGTCTTATTCCATTAAGTAGGGTCGGCTGTATGAATTCTAGAACGTTATTGCGCTCTGTGCTAAGTCTTCCTTTGGCTCCAAGTACTTTATGTCTTTTCTTAAAGTTTCTTTCTTAGTCTTCCTAGGTCTTCCTCTATCCCTTTTGCACTGAACCTTTATCTCACAATTGTATTTTCTAACCAGAGCATCTGTAGGTCTTCGATTCACATATTCAAACCACCTTAACTGATTTTCTCTCATCTTATTTTCAATTGAAGGCACTCTTACTTTACATCAGACATCCTCATTCTTAAATCTTAATCCTATCTTTTCTAGTGTGCCCACACATCCAACGAAGCTTCTCATCTCCGTTACACTCATTTTTTGCACATGCTGAAGCTTGACCTGCAACATTCTGTGCCATAAAGCATTGCTAGCGATGCACTCTTCCAGTTTATCCATCCAACTTCTATTCTATGGTTTTTTTTTTTTTTAACTACCCCACCCCAAGCCTTGAACCCAAGACCTCCTAGACTACTCCACCCCTTACCCACAACGTCACCCTCTCCCTCACCACTAGGCTAGCCCTAGTGGCTTGTATTCTATGGTTACCAATTGTCCGTTCTTTTACAAGATGGATTGCATGAGCATCCATGTACTGTTTTTCCCACTATATAAAATAGAAAATCTACTGCCTATCAATCAATCGGGCTCATCTTATCTACTTTCTAGTGCACTAGTTAAATATCTCAACACTTTGCATAACCAGTTTTTTTCTGGTACGCTCAATAGCATTTTTTTTTAAATGCAGATATGTTTTTATCATCAATTACCAAAATCCGTTCGATATGGTTGTTTATAAACTCTGCTTCCCTGTTAGAAAGGTGCAATCAACCTCAAGGTAGGACTGGATGCATAACAAATTAGCAAGTGATGACCGTTTACATGGAACAAAAGGAAGGTAGAAATCACAGATGTATATGATACGACAGAAAAAGAAAAAGAAAAAGGAAAAAAAAAAAAAACACACACACACACACACTAACGTGCTTTATAAAACTGATCCACCAAACATAGGTATCCAAAGTGTTGAGTGAGTAGTGTAGCCGCACAGGGCAGATCATAACTGAATTAGTTTGGCGAAAGCTAATGTGACAAAAAACTTTTTGAAGCTGATAATATAATGCGTTACTTTTTATAATTAATTCACCAAAAGTTAAATAGAACCATATATCATGCAATTAAACAATTAAAAAGTGCAAGTATTAAGATTCAATCGACCAGCAACCATCAGCACTTAATTGCAGAAAAATGGTGTCATTTTCCCATATCGTATTTTATTAACATTTGAAAGTACATACTTAATCTGTTAAATTATGCAGTAAAGTACGGTTACAGCTAGGGTTTAAGGTTTAGTGGCAGGTCATTATGTCCTAAGCGAGTACAGATACAATTGTATTAGTACAGTTATACAAGTAATCTTCCTCAAATGGTAGTCAAACCATGTGAGATTACGGAAATGGCAAGCAAGAGTTGATCGGTCCTCGTCAGTATTATCCTGTGATTTGAGGATGTTGCGTCATCTCCAGCTGAGAAGGTTCCATGTCTGGCGTGCTACAAATTCTATATTCCTTGTTTTCAATAATGTTAATATACCCATAAAATCCGCAGTTTTTGAAGCTTACCCTATTTGCAGGACATGATCGTGAGTGCCACTATCTAGCGGAGTTTATGATGCACGAGCAAAGAACTGTGACTACTCTGCTGGGTGATTTATGAACTTGTTACTAATTATTTTTAATAAAAGTTCACATTTTGGCAACAGCAAAGAAATTACAACCCATGAAATATTAATTATCATCGTCTCATCGGGTGTTCGAATTTACTTACTCAACCAAAAATTGTATAATATATAAAGCATGCGCAGTATTTTAATGATTTCTGGTGTGTGTGTGTGTGTGGGTGTGTATGTGTGTACGTTTGTGTGCGGGTGTGAATTATCAGAGCATGCATGCATGCTATACATCCCTTCATGTGCCTGCGTAGGTGTAGCACACACTCGTAGGTGTAACATCTGTTACCCCATATGAGAAACCCTAATGCATCAGATGGTTAATCTACCTTTTAACTCATTGAAGGGCCTCTATAAATAGGTATTATGCATGCTAAGGAGTTCACTTGTCTCTATACCTATTGATCCCAATGGAAACACCCTTCACCAATACCACCCTCCTTTTCCTTCTAACCATAGCAACATTCTTGAATTTCACCGAAACCCTAGCCAGCCATCGCTCCAGTTCTACTTCCCTGGTGCTTGGACTAACACATTCTCGGGTTTCCCTCCCAAGTCCGAAAGCATCTTCTTACTCGAAAAAGATGCCATCACAAGTGTCAGACATGATCGAGCCACTGAGGGAAGTGAGAGATGGGTATCTGATACCTCTTAGTTTAGGGACTCCCCCACAAGTCATCGAAGTATATATGGATACTGGGAGTGACCTAACTTGGGTTCCTTGTGGCAATCTTTCTTTTGTTTGCATGGATTGTGATGACTATAGGAACAACAAACTAATGCCCATTTTCTCTCCTTCAGCTTCTTCTTCATCTCTTAGAGACCTTTGTAGTAGCTCATTTTGCATTGACATCCATAGCTCAGATAACTCCATCGATCCGTGCACCATAGTCGGATGTTCACTTGCTACCCTTCTTAAAGGCACATGTCCTAGACCATGCCCTTCATTTGCTTACACTTATGGCGCAGGGGGGGTTGTCCAAGGGGCACTTAGTAGAGACACATTAAGGGTTCATGGAATTAGTAGCACTCCTAATAATGTCGTCACTAGGGAAATTCCAAAGTTTTGTTTTGGGTGCATTTGGGCTAGTTATAGAGAGCCTATTGGGATTGCAGGGTTTGGTAGGGGAGCACTTTCCCTCCCATTCCAATTAGGGTTTCTACAAAAAGGCTTCTCTCATTGCTTCTTGGCTTTCAAGTATGCAAACAACCCTAATATTTCAAGTCCTCTAGTCATAGGAGATGTTGCTATTTCTTCAAAAGAAAACTTGCAATTCACTCCAATGTTGAAGAGTCCCATGTACCCTAGCAACTACTACATTGGTCTAGAGGCCATCACAATAGGTAATACTAGTACAGTTACACAAGTGCCCTCAAGCTTGAGAGAGTTTGATACACAAGGCAATGGGGGCATGCTCATTGACTCAGGAACCACTTACACTCATTTGCCTGAGCCATTTTACTCCAACCTTCTCTCCGTTATCGAGTCGGTTATTTGGTATCCTAGAGCCAAGGAAATGGAGACAAGGACCTCTTTTGATCTTTGTTATTTAGTCCCACACACAATGAATAATACTCTCATAGATCAGGATGACCTACTCCTTCCTCCAATCACTTTCCATTTCTTGAATAATGTGAATCTTGCTTTGCCCCAAGGAAATCACTTCTATGCCATGGGAGCTCCCGTAAACTCCAGTGTGGTGAAATGCTTGTTGTTCCAAGTAATGGATGATGGAGATTATGGGCCAGCTGGGGTGTTTGGGAGCTTCCAACAACAAAATGTGGAGGTTGTGTATGACTTGGAGAAAGAGAGAATTGGGTTTCAGCCAATGGATTGTGCTTCTGCTGCAGCCTCTCAAGGACTTCACAAAAAATAAACAACCCTATGCTGTGGAGTTGATGGTATGGTGCTTCTTGCTGTTATGCAGACTGCAGTTGTTCTTTGCAGCAGACAAAATAAATGAGGGCCTGGCAGTTTTGAATTTTGCATAATGTATTTCTTTAATACTTACTTTTGTTTGAAGATCGCTTAAACTAGCCAGATGTTACGGATTTGGTACTTTTGCTCATTATTATTCTCAATCTTGTATCTGGTTGGATGATTTTTCTACTTCTGTCCTTTCTAAGGTTAAATTTGACATGTATGGTTTTAAGATCAGTCAATTTCTTCATTGTAATTTATTTCCAAGTTGTTAGAAAAAATAGATTGTGGTACTTTTTAAATTATTGTTAAATTAATTTTTTTACAAGACAATTTAGAAGGAGAAATTCGAACTTAAATGTAAAGAGTCGAGTGCATCCGCAAATCCTTGTTAAATTGATCTTTCCATATATTTGCCTTTTAGATTGGTCAGGAAAATGAGCTGGTTATATTCCAATTGCTTGGTAGCAAGTGAACAACTTGAAGTGGAGTAACATTAATTAGCAGTATTCTCTATAACCGATGGGTGAAATTTAGTTTATGTGGCCACAGAAAAATAATAAACTAAATAAATAGACATAAATACTGTGCCACAAAAAAAGAAATCAAGGAATCTCTGGCTTCGAAGATAATTATGTAAATTTTCTCAAGGCTTCGAAGATATTTAGTTAGTTGGTAGGGATTGAACTTGCATCAGGATTCATATACATGATTATTTTTCGCTACTGCAATAAAACATCATTTGCAACTTTGAAGATTTATTTTTATTTTTATGAATGTGTTTGGACCCGATTTTACACCATCGGCCCGAGTAATCGAGGTCGTTGAGTGAATATGGTTCTTAACCGTCAGATGAGAAAGTTAAGATAATTTGCTATTGTTAAGAGGTAATATTATAGGTTTTAATCATAATAATTATTTTTTAATAAATTATCTCGATTTTCTTGTACAAAATAAATGGGATAAAAATCATAGCCCCAACGAAGAGACAGGCGGAACAATCCAATTTAATTTGGATTTGTTAGCAGTGTACCGTGTGGAGATATGCTGCAAGCTGATATTAAAGAAAGGGGATCAAGATGCATGCATGGATGGGGGTGATGAGACAAGAAGTCTAGGTAGGCTAGGCCTTTGGTCATGATGTGATAATTCCATTAAAGGTGATGAGATAGGAAGCTTAGGTAGGCTAGGTCTTTGGTCATGATGTGATAATCTTGGATAGGTTTTTATTGAAAATTACCGATAGTCATATGGAAGATGGACAAGGATTGTCTGCCCTCCTTGTTCCCGTGCCCTTCTGTGCCCTCTTGTTTTGTGTGGTCACTGTTAAGCCACGTCAACATTTTATATTGTTTTTTATAGAGATAATAAGACAAAAATGAATAGTAATATAAAATGTTGACGTGGCTTAACCGTGACCACACAAACAGGAAGGCATGAGAGGGCATGGGAACAAGGAGGGCAGACAATCCTTGTCCCTGGAAGATAGGCTTTAGCCTATGTTAGTTTTTCATTCCACCAGTTAGAGTTGCTATTGAACTCTACAAAATTATTATATGGCCGTGTCAAGCAGAAGACAGAATGCTATAAATACAAGATGCTCTGCGACGGAGAAGGCTACCTCCAACTCAACACACAAACTGACCCAAACCCTCGCTCTATGCGAAACCTATCAACAACCTTGAGATTTTTATTTTCTTTTTCGCCAACACATCTTTAGTTTGGATAAACAACACTGTGAAGGCAACTGGCGAACATCTTCAGTTTGGATAAACAGCACTGCTGCCGTAGAATCAGCCGATAGCGAAGCACCTTCAATTTGGATAAACAGCATTGCGACGTGCCCGACTGGTTATCTATTCAAGTCTCGGTCGAGAAGGATTTTTAAATCCTTATTGGCAGAGGTCATCTCATCAGCCTTCTTGGCGAAGTGAGGCGTTACCAGGTTACTAGATTTGGCACCCTGAGAGCTGAATTTGATATTGAACTTCGCAGAACTAGTAGCCTTATCTTCAGGCTCTAGAACCCGAAGGCCGATGCGTGTTCCTTCCTCCGCCGCAGTCGCGAGATTTAGAAGTCAGTAGCATGCTTAACGCAACATCAACAAATTTTACTCACCGACCAAGCTTGGCCATCGAGTTGGCAAGCCCCACACACAACCGAATGACGTAGTTAGCTTATTAATTACTCGACCTGCAGCGCCACGTAGGCTTGGTAGTTAACAAAATGATAAGCTTTATGGCGCGTTTACGTAACGGTAATCGGAAACAAAACACGGAATTGAATTCTGATTACGGGATATATCTTTGTTTACTAAACTTGGGGAGTAAATGAAAAGGTGGGACCCACACAAAATTTTGCAATTCAATTCCAAAATTTGGAGGATTTGGATTCCCTACATAGACATTGTATTTGGATTCTGGTTTGTTTAGGCAATTTGAATGACATTTTTTTTCCTTTATGATCTCACTTACTTTTTTTATTTCCAAGATTATCCTTTATAAACCCATTAACCCTAAACTGTCATTTTTCTTTTCGCCGCAACTCTTGTCTCTCAGCCGCAGCTCTTGTCACAATTCCGGACAGGTAAATCCCTACTTCTTCTTCATTTTTATCTTTGTGTTGAATTTTTAGTTTTCAATTCTTCGTGGAAAGGAGTTCATGATGGAGTAATTGGTTTCATTTGAATTTTTAGTTTTTAGTATTGCCGCATCCCTGATAAACACCAAGCCCAGCCCTTTGTATTGTCTTCCATGTCGGCACTGAGCATAAAGAACCAACCTCAGCCCTTTGTATTGTCTTTCATGATGGAGTAATTGGTTTCATTTGAATTATATACTATATCAAATTTTATTAAAACAAAGTATATAAATATTTGATTTGAGACAAGGGCATTTTAGTAATCATACTGGTTTATATTCCGATTCCGCTGAATTAGTAAACAGCTTTATGGAATTAATGTCATTTCTATTCTGATTTCAGAATATTTAAGTAAACAACTTCAACAGAAATCTGATTCTGACTTCTCATTTCAACTCCTTCTCAATTCAATTCCTCCTATTTTCATTACGGTTACGTAAAAGCGCCATTAGTGTGTTAAATTGTTAAACGTTAAGAGGGAGGGGGATTGAACCCGCACCATGGTGCATAAACATTATTACTTTCCGCAACTGCAGTAAAACGCCCTTTGCTGCTTCGAAGATATTTAATTGTAAGCATTTGGTGTCACTTAGTACTATGGTATGGTGGTATTCCTTTTCACTTGAAAGTGAAAGGTCTTAGATTCGAATCTCGTGGATGGCGAATTCGATACTAAATTAGGCTGCCCATTGTATGGATTTGCCGAACTCCCCCTTCTTTTAATATAAAAATATCGATGTACTCAAAATTGTAAGCACATTGGTGGCTATGCCATTATGTTCTACAAATAATAGAATTAAAATCTGGGAAAAGTTTATGCCCTTTTGAGAAGCCATTTCAATAAGCAATACATGAAAAACATTTTTTTTCACGTTGTGTAAGGAAATGAACGAATTTGAAGTAATTAGGAACAAAATAGAGCATTAAGCATGGTGTGATAAGACTTGGTTATAGGCCTGCAAATGGTCGAATAAAAGATGCAAATGTCGATTAGGCAAGTTGAACAAGAAGAGAAGGTTCTTTAACAGCATTGATAAAGAAAAGGTTAAATAAAGGATGTGCTTTCCGTTCCGGACCGGGGAAGAGAGTTCACAACTTCCCTGAATGCGAGTCCCACATGTGAACCAAATTTTTACCGAGTTCTTCCCAACAAATGCTTGGCAACATGGAAGGACTGCTTCATTAAACCGCAATAGAGTTTTGAAGTGAATTATACAGCATACTTTGTGTGGTTGCTGAAAATTGCCACCATCATAGCACTTCAGAAATCTTGCACCATGTCTGGAAACGAGGACCGAATAGTTTTCGCTAAAATTTTAAGGAATCGGAATTCTTATTATTGGCTACCAAACCCGAGTATTTTCAAACTGAGAGTAACCATTTCATTACATGAAAAGACCAATCTCCATATGCTTCTCACACTTTGTTCAAGGTAACTAAACAAAAACATCCATATACAAATCTGAATAAATGTACACATACATGGGTAACTCAGTAGCTGATTCATCATTTTCCACTGTCAGTTACGCAAACTATTATGGAAATACCAAGCCGGCAGCGACTGAAAGCACCACAGAAGCTCTATGAGCAACAGGACGAGCTTGCCACCCTTTCAGAAGGTCTGTCCATGAGAACCATTCCTGCAGGGTTCTGCACAGGCTGCACTCGAGGTAATCTCTTTGCTGTTACCCCAAAAACAGACGAAAACCATAATCAGATCACTAAATTACATTACAACATAAACCAAATAAGCAAAAAGACATGTGTAAATCCATTTTTTAACAGTTAATTCATTGCGCTGAAAGGGGTACACGCTAAAGATCCTATAAAAGTACCTATCTCATAGAAAATGTCATTGACATTGTCTGCAGTTTTTGCAGAGGTTTCCAGGAAGAAAAGGCCATTCTCTTGAGCATATGATTGTGCATCCTGCAACAGCAGCAGTAATAGAGCAGAACATAGAATGAATGAATATGTAAGTTATAAAAAACAGAATCTGGTCAAGTTAGCTCCCCTAATCGCCATATTCGTCGGTTTGTTCATTTTCTCAAAAAGTGACCTCTTCGAAGGAACAGATAAACATCAGTTTCACATTATTTATATCTTCTTCCCACATATTGTCATACGTCTGAAACACTAGTTTCGGAAAAATGGAGTCCAGTACCACAAATTGGGAAACACAACCTGGATTACATGGACTACAGTCCACAGAAGTGTAGGGAAATAGGTTTGTTGCTTCAAACTTTCAAAACTAAAAATCAACATTGGAAAGAGGGGACCCTTGCTAAACTTTCTAGGATTCATACAGCCAACCCCACTTAGTGGGATAAGGCGTGGTGGTGCTTGTTGTTGGAAAAAGGAAAGGAGACAGAAATAGACAGCTTGTAGTTAACCATATCATATGATAAGTGCAGAATAGAGAACTGGAAGATATTACCATAAGAATGGAACTGTAATATGTTCACCAAAGCTAATATAAGCATATTTTATATACGAAGAACAAAGGATTTCCAGAATATATTCATTTGTTCCTTAAATTTCAAATTCAAATAATCTTGAAAAGCTATTTTATTTTTCAAGAATGGAGGCTTTGGACGGAAAAATCAAGCGATATAAAGTTCAACCAGTGAACAAAAAAAAAAGCACAAAATAATGAATTACCTCTGCTGCCACTTTCCTGGCCTCTACCAGATCCGCTTTATTACCAGCTAGTGCCATAACCATGTTTGGGTTACCTTGTCATATGGGAATAAATAAAATTATAAAAAATTAAAGTCACATGGACAAAACTAAAGAAGCCAGTACCAAAATTTAGCATATATAAGTTCTTATACCTTGTGACTTGAGTTCGAGAACCCATTTTTTTGCTCGCTCAAATGAAGCCTACAAGAGAAGGAAAATTAAAACTTCTGTTTAAGATGTATTCGACATGGGTAACTAGCTGGTAGCTGGTAATAAATGAAAAGCTGTCAAAGAGAAAACAAACTTCAACTGGGAAGACTAAAGATCCTTCAACTCTAGTGAATGAATGCAAATCCGCCACCAACAAAGAAATAAATTTCATAAAAATCTAAAATTTCAAACAATGTAAAAAATGGGCTGTCAGAATATACTCACTTGATTTGTTAAATCATACACGATAATTGCAGCAGCAGCTCCTCTGTAATACATTGGCGCCAAACTATGGTACCTCTCTTGACCTGCTGTATCCCAAATCTCAAATTTTACAGTTGTGTCATTTACAGCCAATGTTTGTGAGAAGAAGGCAGCACCTATTGTTGATTCCTGTAATAACATACTATAAAAGTAAAGGTATGGATAAAAAAAGAAAATGCTTCCTTTGAAAGATATAGAACAAACCTGAAATTCAACAAATTGTCCTTTTACAAAGCGCAACACCAGACTTGATTTCCCAGCTCCAACATCCCCAAGAAGCACCTGAAGAAGAACATCAAACATCACTGTGGTGACACAGCATGCAATATCCAAAGACAAATAATTTAAGCAAAAATAAATCTATTCATCACATAATGCTAAAATACATATGCCTACATATCCGTAATTCCTATGTTAACGGAACATCTTTCGATAAATTACAACCTTCATTTTAACATGGACTTTTGTATTTGTATTTTGCTTGTGAGTATGGTCTTGGTTAAAATTTAGCATTCTAGCATTTACTTGTATGATATCATATAGCAAGAAAGCTATGAGACCCGAGTCACAGTATGTTGTATTCTCGGAGACCCTCAAAACATCAGAGCTAGACCAAGATAAACAACAACACGAAAGAGTAAAACTTTTGGTCGAAAGAGCTAGAAAGCCTAATAAGCTTTCAGTCCCATTTTTCTCAGTGCAGTCGGAATACAAATACAAAAAACAAAATCAAAATCTCCGTGTTCAAAGATATTGTATTTGTTTGACTTCCATTTCCAGGGTTTAAAAGCAAAAATTTTAAAAATTGTAAATCCACATCCTTTATGTTAATTAAAGCAATCAAATCAACAAATAACAAAACATAAACCTCAAATATGAACTGGCCTAAAAATACGCAATCGTCTGAAAATTATCACAGCTGAAAATCATATAAGACCCAAATCAGAATATCCAGAAACTACAGCAGTAATTGATCATCACAACAAATTCCAGGAAAAAAAACCAAACCCACATCATAATTATCATTGAATCATACAAAACCCGAACAAATTCACAAAATTTCCTAAAACCCAATTGAAATTACGGGGACCCAATACAGGACAGCATCAAAGGCCAATCAGAATCGCAAAGTTCGACGAAATTGAACAGAAAGCAAGCTCAAGAAAAGGGATTTTTTTTCAGAAGCAGAAACACATACCAATTTGGCATTGATGTTCTTATTCCCAGTGGTGGCCATGAGTGCGATGGATTAAAAATTGGAGATCAAAAGAACTGAGCAGAATCTGGGGCTGAAGAACGCAGACGTTGACGAAGAGGGAAAGATGGGGTCTGATGCAAACAGAAGCAGAAGCAGAAGCAGAAGCAGAAGAAGAAGAAGAAGGCAAATCGAGAAAGGATCCTAAAAGCCAAAGCCAAATATACCAACAACCCCTCCTCTCTCTATCTCTCTCTATCTCTCTCTCTCCTCGAATACGAAGACCTCTACTGAAGCAAATGTATTTTACGGAAAATTCCGCGTGCCAAAGCGTAAGAGACGAAATAATCTTCTTTCATCTTTCCGGTCCAACCTGGGCGACCAGCCTGTCTACACCTTCCACTTGGGCACGTTTTGTTTAAGATAATGGGTTCATTGGACGGGCTTGGACTACAAGTTTAGGCCCAACAAATTCATGGACCGCCCTTGTACTTTTGAGAGTTTCAAATTGGAGAAATGTATTTTAAACAATCGTGTAAATTTATCATTTAGTACTACAGTCTATTGGTATTCATCTTCATTTGTAAGTGAGAGGTCTTAGGCTTAGCTCGCTCATTATTGGACCACGTTATTGCTAACCCATTATTGGAACCACGTTATTGCTAGCCCATTATAAGGCTTAGTTCACATTCTCCTTTTTTAGTGTAAATAATATCGTTTGTTAAAAAAAAATCATCGTATAAAGTTTTGATGTTAAGAATTGGATTATTTTAGTGGTTTGGAATCTTCCTCTTCAACTTTTTGTATTCTGATTCAAACTATTTTTCTTTTCTTAATGTACATCAGAGAGTGCCTAGAAGGCAATTAAAGAATGAAAAGTTAAGGAACGTAGGGGTGAAGTCTATGGAATTCAGAGGAGGAATAGAGTTTTTCAAAAGGTAATGAGACTTGCTTAAAAAGGCATGCGACGTGTATGAATTAGGCGTTGAGAACTCAGGCCCCGTCCGGTAATGTTTTGCAAAACGATACTTTAAAATTGTTTTATAAACAAAAACAACAGATAAAATTTTGCATTTTTATGATTTGAGAATGTATCTGGTAGTTTAATAAGAGAATGATTTTTGAGAATGAAAGGCTTGAAAACATGTTTGGTACCTATATCTGAAATTTCAAAACTCATGTTTGGTAGTAACTGTGGCAGTGGTGGTAGAGATGTTGGTTGAGATGAGAGTAATTTTGGTAGATATGGTGGTTGTAGCAGTGGTAGTAGTGAGGGTAATGTGGTGGGGATGGTGGAGGTGATGGTGGCCCTGATGAGGGCAATGGGGGTGGAGAATGTGGAGATGGTGATGGCGGCGAGATGGGATGTGGTAGCGGTGACAGTGACAATGATGGTGGTTGCAGTAGTGAGACGATGGAGATAGTGATGGCCATAGTTGAAGGGTGATGTCGGTGGATAATATGATGGTGGTGATAGGAGAAACAACACGTTTCTGAAGAACAGAAGAAACACGTTGATATAAACTCGATCAAACGTGCAAATCATGCATACGAAACCATGAAACATATCGTAGTACCAGAATGACCAGAGCGTATTTAATTTCTCCGTACTAACAATATTGGAGAAGGAATAAAGCTCTAACAATATATAATTAGGAAAAAGTTGACTTGAAAAAGAAATGGTACTGTAAATTAATGTAGGTGTTTTTATATGAAAAGGCCAAAAGGCTGAAAAGAAGCACAATATAATCGAGGAGGTTAGCTTAGCTCCTCCCTGTGGCTGTGAATGTGATGCTCTCCGAGGCAAAAAAGTTGAACTTTAGTACACTCCTTTTGTCAGAGACTCAGAGGCACACAGAGAGGTAGGACTACCAAATTACCTAAAGATAATGCTATTGAGATTAAATTTAGAGATAAAGTTTAGAAAATTAAACGATATGGAAGTTGATGCTTGATTTATTATTTAAACGTTGATAGACGTGCCTATTTCTATTGATGACACATCGTTTAGTTTGTAAATTTAGTCTTTCTAACCGCTCCTTCTCTCACAACAGAAACACACACACACCTGAAATCTACTTTTGCAGCTTGCACCACCACCACCAAGAACAACCTTCTCTTTACTATCTTCACAGTCACACACACAGAGGACAGGAGGAGAAAGAAATGAAAAGAAACATCTCCTCCTTTGATTCAACCACCAATAATACCAACAAAGTATGACAGAATGAAGGATCGATGGATGGTATATTGGTAATTGCACTGCAATGTCCAAAGGGCATCCTTCCTCTCTCTCTCTACCCCCTCACAGGGATCATTGACTGGTCGCCTTTGACCAGTCTTTTGGGAAGGACTTGTCTCTCTCTGTGTTTATGCAGAGATTTGGCTCATCTGTACCTCATAAATGATACGTGAAAAATGCTCAATCCCCACTTCGATTTTCACCGCGTGACATACACTATACAATCATATTATATATAATTTTATATTAAATATTGTGGTTAACTTCTCTCCTATATTGAGTTGATTTTATATGTACGATAGAGTGCATGGGAAAAAATTGCATAATATCGTGTGTCTAATTTCTATGTATAATATGAATTTAAACAATCTGCATTATGCTTTTTCAAAGCTTTAAGAAATTAACTTGTATGACTATAGGAGATAAAAGATGTGGCATAGTTACATCATTATTGTGTATCATCAGTTTAGGATATCACAATAATAATGTATTCGTGTCATGCAAGTTATTCTTGTAAGTTAAATGATGTGATGAGTATTAAAACCATTCCAAATTGTATTGGAAAGTCCATGGTGATCAAGTAAAATCACTTGGTAATTGCTAAAAGTGTGAGCTAGACTGTGTGTTTGAGTGAGAGAAGTTACTAAGAAAGGCAACAACATATAATTAGAATCATTAGTAAGTGAATGCAAAAACTTGAACTCAAAACACAAATGGGTTTATAAATTATGTACATTAATCAACCAAATGTGATCAATGAGATCTCTACCTCTCTCTTTTTCTATTTTATGATCATATAAATAAATATAAATTATTAATGCATCTTAATTAGGATTATAATGATAATCTAATTATCAATTTGGAGGTGGCTGTTGGTTTTTGTTGGAAGCCAAGGCATGGATGGAGTTTGCAAGCTTGTTAATGGCATCAGTGAGGCCATTAATGCCTTGCCTGTTGATCTCAGTCTTAGTTTCCTCGATCTGTAGCCTTCTCTCATGCAAATTCAACATCTGTCTGTGCCTCCTTTCTTCTCTCTCCTCACAGCCCTGAAGTGCTTCTGCAATCACGGAAGCACCTCTGGCGATGGCAGTTCCCACTTCACTTGAGATGCTAGCACTCACAGTTCCACTGGTTCCTCCTTGATCTTCACCACCACCGCCACCTCTTCCACTTGCCCTCCTCCTCCTTTTAGCTGGCGAGTCTGAATGCTCACTTGTATCGGAATCTGATATCATTTCACACGTCTCCCAAAAGTAAAAATGTTGTTGCACTAATTCAACAAATCTGATATTATTAATCATTACCATTCAATGCACACAATGATTATCAATAGTACCCTACCCTTTTTTCTTTTCCATGACATAATAAAGTACAAATAAATCTTTTACTAGTGGAGAAATTGGCCTAAAATTTAACAGAAAATGTGGTTTGATTGGAATATATAATTCCAAAGATTAGTTGCTTAATTAAGCTTTTGCTTCATAGGCAAGAGTAATTAAACATATTAACGTTAAATTGACACTCCAAATAACTCTTCCTGTAAAGCTAATTCCTAATAACTTATGCATTTTCTTCACAAGTTTGGTCGAGAGACAGAGAGTGTGTGTGTACCTACTGTGGGCATAACCTGTGCGTATGGGAGAGCAAGTGGTGGTTGGGCTGCCAGTGGAGCAGGTGGAAGAAGTGGCAATGCTGCAATTGTTGGAACTGAGATTTGATGATGATGATGTTGCAAAACTGGAGGAGAAGGCAGTGAAGAAGAAGGCTGCTGATGAACATTAGTTGTACTAATTATAGGCCTCTCCAAACCATACCCAATATTTGGATTAATCCCAACATTTGGACCAGAAACAGAAGCTCCCCCCACCACCTCATGACCTCTAATCTGATAACCACCACCACCAGCTTCTCTCCTCTCCACCACATCCACCAAAGCCTCATAAATCTGAGGCACCATATTTGTAGGCAAGTTCCTCTCCTTCCTCTCATTCTTCTCAAGCTTCCAATACGATGCACTACCTTCTTCTCCTTTCCCTTCTCCCACGTTAGTAACCTTCCTCTCATATTCTCTCACTTTCTTGTAATCCCTCATGAGATTGTCCCACTTGTCATTGCACTGGTTTTGGTTTCTCAAACAACCTTTTTTCCAACAGTAGTCCTCCACCCACTTCCACCTCAGCTCAGATGGTTTGCTCATTGATCTTGTTGTCTGATCAGTTCCTCCACCACTACTACCACCTTCCCCACCACCACTTCTCTTCATTCTTCTCTCATCATCCATCTTCTTTGCCTCTATCAAAATCATTGTCTCCCCCTCTGTCCAGTTCCCTTTCCTGTAGTCCCTCATGATCACACGGCTAGTACCATTTCCTCCTTGTTCAGCCATCACCAAAATGCATGCAGCATTCCCCTAAACCTAGAGAGAGAGAGAGAGAGAGAGAGAGAGAGAGAGAGAGAGAGAGAGAAGGGAAAAATGGTCGAATGGGTTCTTTATGGAGAGGGTGGATTTGATTTGGTGGAGTGTTACTGTGGTGTTCAAAACCAGTCAAATATCAGTGAGATTATAGCTAATTTAGGAAAAGGGTAATTAATTAATGGGGTTACCTTAAAAAGGATCTAGGGCTTTTAAGTGGTATTTGATATTGTTGGCATATATTTTTGTGGTTTTGTAGGAGGAGAGGGTTTTTGCATCAAGAGGGGAAGAAGAAAAATAGGAAGTAAAGATGGAGGTACCTGTTTACACTCTAACTATAGCTATGATGTATTATTTTGTATTGTTTCTTTTTGTCTTAAAATTTTCAACCTTTTTGAGAGGTTAAGGATTGATTTTGCACCATCTAAAATCTTCAAAGATTAAAGTTCAAATCTGAATCTACTTATTCAAACCACTACTGCTTCCCACAGAGAGGGAAAGAGAGAGAGAGACTGTGTGAGGGTAGAGTACCATTATAAGAAAAGGCCAAGCACCATTCAAACTCACATCAACAAACCCCAAAAAGTTTCACAGAGAGAGAGAGGGAGAGAGAGAGAGAGAGATTTGAAGAGAAAAAAGATGCAGTGCCTGCTGGCATTAGAGAGGGTCAATACATGACTACCACTCACCCCTACACGTGGTGTAGCCTCTCAATTCTCAATCTCATCATCATCCCCGTACAAATTGTAGATTTTCTGTATTTTCATTTTAACCCTAATCGCAGCTAAAAGCCTAAAAGTAAAGAGAATATTACAATAGGATCCCTAACCCTAATGGAAGTGATTTCCAGTTTCCATACTTTAGCTTTTTCTGATGTCTTGCATTTTTTTTATAACTATTAGATGGAGAAAATAAAAAAATGAAGATCCAAAATCGTCAAGGGTCTTCGCTTTGTGAAGATCAGTGAAATAACGTCGTATAATAATGATTCATATGATAATTAGAACCTCTTACAACATGTGAGAAATGAATATTATTAGATTAAGAGCTAATTAATATTGACTGTCATTTATAAAATAATGAGAAGAATGCTCAATTTAGGTTTAGGGTCTTGTTTCAGTGCTAATTAATTATATTCACTGAAACATAATTCCGTCTTGATTTCTTTATTTGATAATTGACTTTAAATGTGCTTTAGGGAGTTAAGAACTAATTTCTTGCAATGATGGGTTGAGCATGGTAATGCGCAGGACGAGCATTATATTTTTCTTTCCACGGGAAGAAGAAGAAGAAGATATATATATAGCAAGATAAATCTACATCAAAAGCCTAAAAAATGACTAAGAATCTATCCTAATCATTTAGATTTAGTTTAGTCCCTTAACCCCATGCTATGCCATACATGCAAAGAATGTTAAAATAATAATTACCCATGTCACATGAAACTTGGAGCTTTCATAGAGCACATCCACCCATGTTAAATTGTCATGGCTCGATCTCAAATTCAACCCAAAACACAACTTCACCTATTTTTGGGTTAGTAAGGCTCATCAACCGTGATTGGTGTCATTTCGATTCTAAGTCCAAGCCTAAATCCTTGGTGTTGACGTCAACAAGTCCTTTTAATTTTTTGCACCAGGCGTGTGCTCAACACGACCAGTTGGAGAGTGCTCGCCACAATGGCTACTTACCATGTGATCATATCTCAAACAATTCTCACCTTAATCTGATGGTTTTTAATTATATTTTTGTAATAATATTTCTAAGACAATCTAAAAAATTAAAGAAAAAAATCAAATAAAAAATTTCCAACGGTTACTTGTACTTTTTTCTATAAATACTAAATCATTGTTTCTCTTTCCACCAAAACTCTACACAATCTTTCATTTTCTACATTCTTAATTCTTTTTCTACATTTCTAATTTGTTTATGCTTACAAAAATGGCATCTTCGACGGAGTCGAAGTCGGAATCAAACGATAGACCGTCGAAAATGGTTTCATGTGTGAGCGTTGAGTTGCCGTTATATACCGATTGGCACGACGAGTAGGAAGGTAACTGATTATCTATATATATACAGTGAGCATCCTAAAATAGTGAAACATTCAAAATACCATAAATTGTCCTTTAAGAATTTCATAAATTACAATTGAACCAAAAGAAGCTAAAATATTTAACCATATTTTTATTTTGAATGAATTTAATATTTAAAATTATAGAAAGAAAAAAAACAAAAACAAACCTCCCACGTTAGTGGGTGGTTTCAAGTCATTAATTCATTTCTTAAAAAAAAAACAATAATTTTTAAAAAATATGTAAATTAATTATTTAAATAAAAAAATATAAAAAGGCCAATTGCCACACGCGTATGCGTGTGGCAAGAGGCTAGTTATTTATAAATGTTGAAGAGGTAGTTGAATTCCAACAAGAAAAAAGAAGAAGAGGTAATTGAGAAGATATATCAGCCATTCAGTACTACGGTCTGATGATATTCCTCTTCACTTGGAAGTGAGAGGTCTTTGGTATCATTTTTTCCTAGATTGCGAATTTGATACCAAATTAAATTGCCCATTATGTGATTTAACCGAACTTCTTATTCCCTTAATGGAAAAATATCGATATACTAAATTTTTTTTTGAAAATATACATCAGCAAAAACCTCAATATTCTATCCAAAATAAATTGGAGCTTGAGACTCCGGAGCCCGACCCATTACCCATAAGATCAGATACTAAGCCCACCTCTATCTTTTTTGTTTACTTCTGTCAAAGAGCCCACCTCTCCCTACTGCATACCTATAACAAGGCCCAGGGCCCAAGGCAGAACATACTTAGATCTGGGCCTTGATACTTTTATTATTATTTTATATCCTTTCGGTCTTCGTTTTTGGTATAAATTCATTGTTTTTAGGGACATTTTTGGCTTTTTACTAACCTCTATATATATTTTAAATTTGAAACAAAAGTAACAAAGAAAGATTTCTTTGGATACTAACCAAAATTTAATCTAGAAAAAACTACATTATGAAATTATAAATTGTTATAAGGGAGTTTTTATGGCACTCTAAAAAATTATTGTGCATTCCTCTTGTATTTCTCTTTAATTTATTCACGCAACAAGTACGTATTATTATTTTTTTTTTTAACAAAAGAGATTAACTATTTTTAAGTGGCATAAACAACACAGTTGTTATAATTATGTCCTAAATTTGAAAGGAAAAAAACAATTCCCCACCTTCCTACTTTTTCATTCCATCTTTGTTACATATAAATGCAACTTTCTTTTTTCTTTTTGTCGGAATTACTTGTATTTATCAGCATGTTGAACGATTTATTCTTTTTATCATGCATGCATTTACGCTATCTTATTACAAAGTAATTAATGCATATGCATGAACGTACATTCCCTCCAAGTCTTATTCTTTATATACTGTGAAAATACTAAATAAGAAAGTTTGTGAGAAGTAAGAAAATTATTTTAATTTTTGACTTTCCTATATTTACTAATAAGGAATTAAAGTAGTACATTCCTTAAATTTTGTAATTCACTATATTCAAAATTTGGTGTTGAAAAACATGCACGTCTTAATCCAATGTCCTGAAAATACGCTAGTATTGTCTTAAAATTTGTAATCTAATTTTCTCTACTTATAAATATTTTTCAATTTGTATTTTATGATATTAGCAATATTGAAAGAAAATTATTATTGGTAGTTCAAATTCATCATTCTACACTCCAAACTTTCTATATTTAAAAAAGAAAAATAAAAAATGTAGAATAAGATTTTTGAAGTACTAATAACACTTCCTTATTGAAATAGGGGGAGTGGAAACAAAACTTGAAATCTTTGAGAATAAAAGCGAATTCTTTTAACAAACTGAACAACAAATCGATTGTGTTCCTCCCAAATTTAACAGTAGTTAAACATGTTTACATAAAATTTACCCAATTAATTTAATTTTTGACAAGCGACCGATAAACACGAAGGTGTTGGGTGGCGAATACGCTTCGACACCAACGATAATCCAAACGAGTTCAACGACAAGTTGCCCACATTTCTTGAATCCAGTAAAATAAAATTTAAAATTTAAAAAAAATAAAATTTGAAGAAGGAGAGATCTCGACACTCCACAAAAAAATTGAAGCCTCTCTCTCTTTATTCTCTTACTTGCTCTGCCTCCCCTACCAGCAAAGAGCTTATGATTCGTACTTAATTCAGAAGCCTTGAGGTCGAAGGAAGCATATAGAATCTTGGGTCGTCTTCCTCTTCAAGTATAAGTATATATATATATATATATATATATATATATACAAGTCGGTGGCTGAAAGAAAGTTGCAAACTTTGAAGGTTTTGAGATGGACGAAGATTGCTGCGCCACGCAACTTATCTATGGCGATGGAGAATTTAACGCAGATGGGCTCGACAGGTTCGTGAAGGAGGTGAAGCTTACCGAGTGCGGACTCTCCTATGCGGTTGTTGCAATCATGGGTCCGCAGAGCAGCGGTAAAAGTTTGAAACTTTGTTCAATTTGGTTGAGTTTTGAGGTTTTTGGTGCTTATGGCTTTTGATTTTGCAGGGAAAAGCACTTTGTTAAATCATTTGTTTCGGACTAAGTTTAGGGAGATGGATGCTTACAGTGGAAGGTTGGTTTCTGAGTTTGGAATTGATTGTGTAGTCAATTTTGGTTTTTTTTTTTTGCTTTTGGAATAAGTGCTTTTTGGGAGAGAGGATTATCTGATTTTGTGGATTTGTTTTAGGAGCCAAACTACAAAGGGTATTTGGATTGCCAAGTGTGTTGGCATTGAGCCGTGCACGATTGCCATGGATTTGGAGGGGACTGATGGGAGGGAGAGGGGCGAGGTAATCAGATTTTCATTAGAATTCCATTGTGTTTTTCTAGGGAGGATTTAGTAAGAGCTGCAAAATGTTATATAGTTAAACTTCCCGGATTTATTAACTGTTCGTGCTTCCTGTGTATCTATTATTTTCCAGGATGATACTACATTCGAGAAACAAAGCGCCCTATTTGCCTTGGCAGTTTCAGACATCGTGCTGATAAATATGTAAGCTTTTGTTTTTTTATTTGTCTTGGAATCGCCTGGCTGATAGTCTACATTACTTGCATAGTTAATGACTATATATGTAGTCGTCGATCCAATTTGTTAGTGGTTGTATGTTGAACTTGTTCCCTTAAGTGTTACATCAAATTAGTAGAGGTGTCTAGTTCAATTTTAAGACTGTCATATGTATTGGTATCTAGTTCAGTTGGTTTTTAGAAGGGCAAAGCCGGTGTGAGTTTGGTTTATCAATTATCTATATACTTAGGAAAGAAGCTTCTGATACCATCTCATTGATTGTTCAACTAGGGTTTTACCTTTCACGAAAACATGGGCTTTTCTAGTTATGAACTTTTAGTTCGGAATCCTAATGTTAATTGACATTTTAATTTCCAGGATATATAGAATACACGTAGGCTCAATTTAATTTACAGAATATACGTAGTTTTTACCTGTAATTTGAAATTACTTTTAGATATATCAAGTGGAGATTGGATTTGTATACAGGTGGTGTCATGATATT